ATAGATAGATAGATAGATAGTTCAGAAGTGTTTGCTCATGCAAAAAAAGTACCTTCATAAATCACACAGACAGAGCAGCAGTTTATCATTAAACTGGTGCACATTCAGCAGATGTGCTTCTGTTTAACTGCAGGGTTTGACAGCTGTTTCCCCATTACAACCTCCCTGATTCTTATCAGAGGACCCACACTTTTTCTCTCCACCATGCTGCCATCAAACTGCTTTTCTGAGGAGCCTTAAGAGTCTTTAACATCTATAGAGCACCATTTTATAGTCTACAGAGATAATGGATGATTCTGATTTATAAATCAAATAATCACCTTACCATCAGACTGGACATTCCTATCCCGCCCAGACTGGGACAGACGTAGTTCCAGACCCCGATGCTCCCACGTCGGATCTTCTGACCCACAGCCAGCTCCAAGAAGAAGAGTGGGATGCCAATGATGAGGAGGAGGATGAAGTAGGGAACCAGATAGGCACCTGAAGAACAGGGAGGTTTGTTGAGTTCATAAAGTCCAAAAGGGAAGTAATATGTTTAAAACCAACACAGAAAAACAACCGAGATGTCTGTCCTTCATCACAGATTTGACTGAACATTACTGTTAACTACTTTTTCACAGTGTGCTATACAACAAAAGCTGCAGATTTTAAGGCCGTAGTGTGTGGTGCAGTCATATTAAACTGTATTCTGTTTTTAACATTTTATCTCATTTACATGCAGAGGAGCAAAAGTATTACAAACTTTCAATATAATGAAATCTAATACAACAGAAACATCACAAACAGCCCTAAAATGACCACAGAGTTGAATCAGCACCTTTTTGTAGGCTTTCCTTACTCCTTGTGTGTTGTATTTTTAAAGGATGGGTCTATTAGATTGCGTCGCATCAAACCGGGGTTTTATATTTTCATTTTATTTTTTCATTCTAAGAGTGATTTGTCATAAATAGAAAACTAAAATAATATGGTCCTAATAGTGTGATGAATATGAACAGCGTTTCCTGTTCATTTGTCTTTTAAAACCAGCAACATTTGTACAGTAATTCAACAATTTTGCGTCAGTTTAACTTGCAAAATGTGATATGGTGATTCAGTGAAATATATTTACCCAACCACCCCTCCTCCTGCACCCAGCTCCTTTCCGATGTAACCTCCTCGGCTCCACTCACGAAAATTCTTTGAATTTCATTTTAATTTTGATGGGAGTCTAAATTTGTCCCTTTGCAGCTTAATCCAGAGAGGCATAATCAGGATGCAACTGTGTTTTATGTGCGAAGGACGAGTCATCATCTGGGACTTATAGCAGGCAAACATGCACTATTAATACATCAAAAGTAGGGAATTACATACAGTGGGAGGAGTAATGAGGCAGTGAGAGGAGAGGAGGGGAAAGGCTAAATCAAGAAAGCTACGATAGAGAGGATAGTGAGGTTAAATGTAGTGAGAAGTTTGGGGCCTCTGCCAGGATCCTCAAATCATCTACTCCATCACCAGTTATTTAAACTGGAGCCTGATTGACATGATATACGACTGAGTCCCGAGCATAAAGATGCAACAATGGAGGGAGAAATGATAGATGTGATGAGGAAGAGAAATAGTAGGAATGAGAGAGAAGCCCACACAACGATAACTCCCTAACAACACGGACCTTTAACGTGTCTGTAATTGGCTGCCTGACAGACAATTACGGGGTGAAAAATGGCCACTCGCCAGGTCACATAACCTGACTGGCCTTTAGTTGTCTAGTGTCAGTAAATACTCTCTATAGGCAATAAATCCTGCCTATATGCAGTAAATCAGACACGGGCAGTAAAGCAGAAACCACAAAAACATTAAAGGCTTAATGTAAGCTGTAGCATGTCTATCAATCCATGATGACGTGGTGTTTCTAACCTATAGTGAACGCAGGTTTACACTGTGTTCGCCTCCGATTACAAGCACCCCAGACCAAAATAAAACCTCATCACTATACAGTTACATTAATTTTTTTTTATCAGGCTCTTTTCTGTTTAGCAGAGTATCAGTTGGGCCCGGCCTGCTCTGCCGGCGGTAGTAATCAATAGTGCAGCTATATTTAGACTTGAATGTTTTCTGCACAATACAGCTGCTCTTCGCACTTCTGTACTGAATGGAAATGACATGTCGTTTGTGATGGTCGGGGGTGGTACTAAGCTACTAAAAGTGAAACACAGGCAGCTAAACATGCAGCAGGACTCCATAAATGAGCAAAATCAGCGTTTATGTCTGAAAGATTTCAACAATAAATCACTTGTCAAATAGGGATGAACATTGTGAAAATCAATATCAGAAGATGAAGATTATTTTTTACTAAATCGTGTTTTTTTAATGTGCTTTATGTGTTTTGATTAAGAATGACATCTATCTGGTTTTGCAAATTAACTCCTCATATATGACACAATATGGAAAAATATGCAAAACCTCAAAGCTGTTGCATGTAACGTATTTAAACAAGAACGTTAACAACTTCATAATTATTCCACTAAAAGTTGATAATACTGCGTAGCCCTTGTGTCTGAAAATAACTTGAATTGTGGAAAGATTGCACAGAGTGGAGAGGACTGATTGGTATCCTACTAAAGTGGAAGTATAGTTACTTTTCAGTAAAACTACTTTCTTATGTCTACATGCTGTCAATAACTGGGCTATCACGCTGATGTTTAGCTGTTAAAACATATTCACCATCTAAGTTTAAAGAGTTTGCATGCCCACATTTGCTGATTAGCACTACAAGCAAAAAACAGCTGAAACTGATGGGAATGTCAGTAGTTTTGTAGGTCTTTGTGTGTTGGACAAATCCAACGTTTGACCTGATAATATTGATAGACAAAAAGCCAAAGTTCTGATCAAAGTTTTAATCATCCTGAGGGGACATGAATATCTGCACCAAATTACATGACAAACCATCCAATATCTTTATAATAGAAATATATCAGCCTGGACCAAAGTGGTGGACATTTCCATCCTGGGAGTCATACCACATGGCAAACAGCAAGAACATAACATCAGATTACACTTCTTTCACTATTCTTTCACTATTCAATGTTTATTACTTAAAGGCTCTGTTTTCTGATCATTTGTTTTTTGTGTGGACGTCACATCCATTACACGTTCCACTTCATGAAAAGAATAGAAGTGAAGAATAAGTTGCTATATTTAGAACTCGTATGTGATCAAACCATCTTTCAAATATTCAGATGTCATCAGTGTTTATTAGTAGAGAAATAAATTGAACGCTCGAGCACTCTATGTGTTGCCTTCAGCATTTTATTCTCAGTGTCCCTGAGTTGGAGATACTAACTTCATGGATTACTGTGTATTTTTTGTCACTATCATTAAGGGTCATGGTAATATGTTACCACTGTGGGCTTTCAGTAAAGTTAGAAAGTTACTGCTTTTAAAAACATCTGAAGGGACTCTCATAGTAAATGTCTACTTGAGTACAGTGAAGTAAATGTAATGTGCTACACATAAGCTTGAACTAAAGCCAGCAGCTCACCTCCTCCATTCTTCTGGCACAGGTAAGGGAAGCGCCACACGTTCCCCAGACCTACAGAGAAGCCCACCTGGGCCAGGATGTACTGCAGTTTGCTGTTCCAGGCAGGTCGTCCATCGTTTTCGGGCACCTCTATCTGCGGGACTTTCTTCCCGGTGGCCCCTCCAACGTTCAGGGCGCTGCTCTTGTAGTCGATTGGCTCCTCATGTGCGAGCAGGTCAGCCACCGACTCTGTGACATGCTCATGGCTCTGCTCGCGCTGCGTCACCTTGCTGTTCTTAGGCATCGGGGTCGGGAAGGGGGGTGGGGGTGGAGACAGAAAGAGAGAGCGAGACAGAGACTGGTAGGAACAGGAAGAAGTGGTGCAGGCAGAGAGTGGAGAAGAGATAGATGGATGCTATAGGGAGCTATAAGGGAGATGCTGAGGAGTGATTTCAGGTCTTGGGCTTCAGTCCTGCATCAGAAAAACAGAAGATTGTATTTCAAGGACATCATCAAATTTAAAATGAAATAATTTTCTGTTATTGGACAAAAATCCCATAGTCTGTATTTTAAATAAAAGAATGAGATTCGTGCCCCTCACAGGCATCATTCAATATTCAGTATTTTTAAGCCTTCATTTCCTGGCTGTGATCCCTTAAAAAAACTTCACACAGACAATTATTCCTCCGTTTAGTGCTTGGTTAGGCTTGTAATAAGACAATGGATTGTAACACATGGTTATGCCTCTCCAGAGCCATGAAGGGTGTCAGCATAAAGACAGGACACCATTCATCACACCTGTGTTAACTTAACCTGACTTTTCAACAGAAAACTCAACAGGGACTTGAACAGACATGTTTACATCACAGCTCTTTGTCTCTCACGCAGTGTTTTTGGTTCCAAAAAATTCCCAATCCTGTAAATTGTTCTATTTAATTTCCCTGTTCTGCAAAGCTTAACTTTAGCGAAGCTTTTTTTTTCCTGTAAATCCCCATAATCCTCGGAAGCATCGCAGCAACATCCATCCTCACCCCTCTTTCAGGGAGTGGTTGGTTCAACCCAAACGTAATGGAGGAAGTGAATATGATGCTTTGGATGAAGTGCCGTCATGTGGTCTCCTGATCCACATCACGAGCCCCTGTGTAGGCTCATTACTTATTGAGCGAGTCATTTCGCTATTATAAAAACCTGCCGTCCATGATAATGCAAAACTGCAAAGCTTGTGGGTTATTTCAACACTTTTTACATGCTGGAGAAAAAGGAGAAAATATGACTTTGAATTTGAATTTGATTCTGTTGTTTGGTAGTGACTGATCGAGTCACCAAAGTCCCGTTAAAGCAGAAGGAAAATGTATAGCTAAAGGAAAGTCAGTGGGACTGAGTGAAGATGCTGTACATAGAATGTGATGCAACAGCAGTGATGCACATGAGTCTTTGTTGTCACAGCACTTACTGCTTACATCAGCCTAAAACAAAGTCTGCTACTACCAGCAAAGAGCATCAGCTCCACACAAACACTCTCAGAGCACTCGCAGACACAAGAAAGCCACAAAACACTCCTTAATTTGTTTTCTGAATGTTCATTTGCTTTCCTTGCTTATGTATTTTTTCATCACCACAACAGATTTCCTCCTCTGTGCATGTCAAGATGAGCCTATGATGCAATAATCCATGGCCATTCACAAGTCTTCATAATCCTATGTGCATTAACTGTAAAGCCCCCAGCGCTGCTTTTCTGTCTTGTCATTCAATCCCATCCTACAGTATACAAGACACATAATATCAATCAGAGGCTGCATCATCCAGCCAACACTGAGAAATGAAAACACATCAACTCACCCAACCAATAATCCTGCTGGAAAAAAAAAACCCCAAACACACAGTTCAGATGAGGAGTCTGACTGTGTGGAACGATTTTATATCAAGGCATTTTTCCATGGCAGGAAAAGCCTTTGCATGGCCTGCAATGTTATCTTTCTCCTATGTGTCGATCCTGGCTTTGTCCTTGGAAGAAGATCTACATTTTCAGAGTTAATAACAAAGGAACTGTATTCCCTTTGACCTATAAGCAAACATCTGCCTGATCTTTGTGTATTTATTCTGCTTCTTGCCTATTCAATGATTCTACATGCGTCATAACGAGGGAAAGCATGCATATATGGAGGGTATTTCTACACCACCGCACTGTACATAACGTCTACTAAAACCACTAAAAGCACTTGAACTCGTGCATGTTCTCAGCAACTGTCACATCCACAGAGGGTGCAATATAAAGACCTTTCTGTATTAGGACAAGAATTATGTAGTTTCTTTCAGGGACTATATAATGCACAGGACAGCAGTTTGTCATGTATGTATGCAGCTATCATCTGCTGGGACTCCATGTTCTTGGACATGATACTCTAAGGGCAGGTGCACCAAGACTAGAGCTGAAACAAAGCTGAGGTTTCATATGACAGATACAAGCAGAGAGTCCTTACAAATGTGAGACTGGAATAAGAAATCATTCACACTGGTAAAATTCCAGCACCAACAAGGACACCAGTTCAGCCCTAACTGTGAACACATGCTTTTACACAGCAGCTGTTTTCACTATCAGACGTCCCAAAATCACAAAGTAAAAGTTACATTTCCTGTTATAGAAGTGTATATTCATATTTTCCTATGAGTTATGTTGGAATAGATAGCAATATATATGCAAATACAATGGAAAGCAGCAGACCCTGCTGGTATCAGCTTCAGTAATCAGTCCTGTTTAAATGTCCACACTTGTTCATTAATCGATTACTGATCCTGTGATTACAAGTCTGAACACACACCACAGTTAATGGTTTATCAGCTGTTTCACACTGGAAATGTGTGTGTAAATGTGTGTATGAAAAGTCTGAAGCCTTGCATTTGTTATTCCCACTTTACTGGCAAAATCAGAACTTTAAAAACTGTAAATTTAAAGGAACATCAGCTTGCTTTCATTAAAAAAAGAAAAAAGAAAAACTATTTTAACTCTAAAACACAGCTGACCAGAACAGCTGCAGGTGGTGTAAAGCTGGTGAAAGCTCTCACTCATCAACACCTCAGCACAGATCACTTAATGTGACCACCAGGCGACACATCTGGTGCTGATGCTGATAGCCCGGCGGTTTCGCCATCGCTGATTTCACCGCTCATCATAAGTGATGCGAGGACTTTTTTAAAAACACAATCAAGGTCAAACACGATTATGTCCTGACCTCTGTGCGTAAAGTAGAAACTCATTTAGGTCATGATGCAAATTTTACACGATTACAGACAACTTCACGTGACTCAAAACGCGGTTTAGACATAAAACAAAGCGACTGGAACTCTTTTCCAGCTCTCTGTGAACTTTTTTGCAGGAATACACAGTTTTTAAAATCCAGGTGATAGCAACTACAGCGCTGAGAGAGAGAGAGACGCACAATGGAGGGATGTTAGAAAAATAAATTCTTTCTCACCGTCTGAGTCTTTAGCAGCGATCAACAATATCCAGGGTTTATCGTGAACGCAGATGTGAGAGAAAATCTGTAGAGAGGCATGAATGCATCCGCCGGGCAGCACTTGTGTGTCGGTGTGGTACTGACTGATCGCTCACAGGACACTGGAGGACGGAGGATCACATGCTGCTCTGCCTACAATTGACATGCAGGGAGGAGAGTCCGGGGCGCACCGTGACGCACAAAGTGCCGCTCATTACCAGCAATGACAAATTATTAGGCTACCTGACACTCACTTGTTGTTTGAGACTTCCAGCCATCACAGCGTCTCTGCACGGGAAGGTGTGATGTCTGAGGGGGGGGTGGGGGGTGGGGGGGTAAAATGGGCAAAACTATGCGCGGATTTGTCAAGGTTATCCACACCTACCTGAGGAAGTAAGTGTGTGACGCAGCTTTCGTCATTCCCATTTCAATTGATACAAAAAAAAAAGCCATTCAGCTCTCCCTGTCGGGATAGTAGCATGGGATGCAAAGGAAAAAACAACAGCTCTTATTCTAAAGGTCATTAGTGTTGAGCTTTTTGTTAGCATCGCCCTACAAACACAGTGAGGGTGCTGGTATTAATGTGGACACTTGGAAACCAGATGAGCAAGCCCTTTTTCCCCAACTGCTCAACGATGAATAAGCATTAATAAATGAATAAAACTCATAATAAATATATGAACAACAAATGAATAATACAGAGAGGGAGAAGTGAAGGACAAACTGCTCTTGAAAGTGGAGACAATGTGTTATTATTGCCTTCTACCAGCGGTGTAAGTCATACTCAGATCATTTACTGGAGTAAAAGTATCAATGTGTATAAATACTCAATTACAAGTATACATCCAGCATTCACATATACAATAATACAGCATGCACTCAAAGTATCGGATAAATGGTCCCTGTCAGTCTCAGGTAATTACATAATGTTATATTATATATATATATATATATATATATATTATTGAATTGTTATTATTGAGGCTTTAATGTGTAACCAGGACTTTAATGTTGTACATTTGGCCACATTTTAACTGCTTTATTTGGATATGATTGCATCTTGTTTTATAAACTGATCATGTGATGTAGCCTAATCTGAAAAGTAAATAGTAACTAAAGGTGTCAAATAAATATATTGCAGTAAAAGGTTAAATATTTCCTAAGTATATATATACACATACACATACATTTACTTAATATCTTAAGTGTAAAGTAGACAAGTGCTTCAAAGTTGTACTCAGAAACATCACATGAGTAAATAAGAGTAGTTAATTAGTTACATTGATAGAAAAGTCTGAACAACATTGTTTTTATTAAAACTCTCTTTAGGGAGAGGAATCTGTTCTCTAAGAGAATATACATTTAATTCTGTTCATACTCTCCAATAATCTCTGACTAACATCTTTATCTCCCGATCAAACTTTAAGTGTTTGGACTTTGCACTGGGTGGTCATTTCTCTATTAAATACTGGACACACGACACGACTGCAGCAGACACAGTCACCCAGGGGACCATAAATCACCCACCAGCCACCAGAATATTCCTTAATACCACCGAGATAGAGGCGGAAGACATCATCGAGAGGCCATTTTTCATCCTGACCGTATGGATTTATTTAGCTCCCTGTGTCTGTCTCCTCGGTCGTCTTAATCAGATGTGTGTCCTCACTTGCTTTTTGATGTTTCTCTTCATCTGCATCATTATTATCATTATAGAGTTGATGATACATAACACAGGGCAGTAAATATGTGGAGTTGTGTGGCTTTAAACTTTCTAAGAACAAAATCCTGTTTCCTCAAGCACTGATACAGTTTGAACTGGCTTTAAATAAGATATGACCTCTGCAGTACATTTGAATCACAGCTCATATCTCATATTCTCTCTATTTGTGAAGCTTTGCAGTAGAATGTTGTTCAGATTGTCTTTAGGTTAAACTAAAACCCACACCAGAGTGTAGCATCC